ACACTTTTACTACGTTGAATTCAATTTGAAACTATTAGATCCTTTTGCATTTTTATACTCTTTTACACTTTATTTATAATCTCTTCATTTAAAATTTAAGGGTGGCTTTACGGGTTTCAGAGTTCACAGGGTTGTATATAGGTATACTTCTAGTCATAAGAATACGGAACACTAATACTTCAAATCCTTTTTTAATCCCCCTCCCTTTTAGTAATTGATGCGTTTTCTAATCCTTGTAATAGTTCCAAATTTTTAAGATAAATATTTTCGTCCCTAAAAATATGCAATTATTAGTGAAAAAAGCTTGTATGTCCGTTTGCAAATAATTTGTTTATATATTTGTATATGCATGTAAATGTATATTTAAATGTATATACTTTATATAAATAAATTACAATAAAATATATGAATACTATCGACTTTGTTCTGCCAACTTCATGCACCAAATATATTATAAATATGTGTCACAACTATGCAATGCTTAGAAATTAAATTCTGAGGGAGGAGAAGGAGTAGAAATAATTTTTTTATATCTCATTTGGGATTACAAATTAAAATCAAAGAAATTTTATAATTATTACAATAGCAATTTCCAAAAAAAAGTATTGGTACTTACCTGTAGCACAATACGATGCCATTGGGGAATTTACATCAAAGAACTCGGGTTATAAAGATTGCAAGATAAGATCTTTTACTATTGATAAATTTTATTTAAATTTTCATGGATAGTTCAATTTGAAACCCTAGTTTTCCATAGTATAAATATGTAGACGTTTTTCTTTTTTATTTTCACATCTACACAGTTATGTCTTTGTTTTGGTTTCTTTGTTACTGTTATTATTGTTGATGTTATTTTATACAATTGACCGCAATTTTTATGAAAAGATTGCGTATATTAATGCATGTTTTGTCAACAGTTCTAGGGAAAATTCCTAAGTACATATTAAGGTAGAAAGGTTTTTATTAGAGTAAATTGCCAATAATTGTTACATAGTTTGATTTTTGCATCATGTGTAATAAAAGCAGAGAACAAAACATAATATCTTTCAAAGAGGTCAATTATAATTAATTATACTAGTATATTCGTGTAAAAATTATTTAGATTTCATAGTTTGAGACCTTTATTCCATAGTTAATATACAATATAAAATTTATTGGCACAATTTTTCATCTATAAATTAAGAGAATGACGAATGCGATGTATTACTCAGTCTGTTAACAGCAACTGTTTTTGCAATTATACCTTTGATTGCTCTGCGATGTTGTGATTTAGTTTTTGTTCTGTTTTCCAAGTGCCGTGGTTTGTTCCCAAGCTGTACTCTTAAGTCCACATGACGATGCCAATTATATTGCATTTCAAGAGGGTTTGGTATTGTCTTTGAAAACCATATGTTGAGAATACTGTTTTCGGTGCTCTAGTTTTTGATTGAAGTGGTAATCTTTTGATCCTAGTCGTACTGAAACGCATTTCGTATTAAAAATATTATGAATTCATATAAATCACATGTTTACTTCTTAAGTAATCTCTGTAAAAGTCAATGTTCTTAGGTCTTCATTTTCTTGACGATTTTTTTATTTTTAGTCATTGAGAGGCGATTTGCTTAAAAGTGGCAAAATAACTACAATATCTTGGTCTTTTTCGAATCTCTATGTTTTTAATATGCAAGAGTAAATCTTCTGCAACATTCTCTGTTATTCGGCACGAAAATAGGTTATGTATTGTTCTTTTAAGAAAAAAATAGAATTTAAACAGCATTTTTAAACAATAATTATAATTTATGGAAAACAGTAGTTTTAAAGAAATACAAAATCAAAGTTTAATGGGTTATTTGAATTTTTAAGAGAGGATTACAAATACTTCTAATATAATGCCTCTTTACGGACTTACATTGAGTTAGGCTTTACGCGAATAATTTTTTTTTTCTTTTATTGGCTTATTTATTGAATCTTTCTAAATAGAAATTGATAATTTTACAAATCTTAAAAAACTAACATGTGTGCTATCGAACTAGGGTATTCATTTTTATGAATGATTTTCTTTTAAGGTGATTTAGTGTAGTTGCAGAAGACAAGTGTCGAACATGATGATTTGGATGCGACTTGAGTCTCTCACGGAATTTAGGTGTTAGAGAATAACTTCTTCAACAATTGGTAAATTTAGGTCCTTGTGTAGGTTTTTCTTTTTGACATACCACGAATCACACCTATCTTGTTGCAGAATTTTATTTTATACTCTCTGGATTTTTTACAATATATAATAATTACAAAATATTTTAGAAATAATGTCGCTTTTTTAAATTTAAATCTAAAGCGTTCTGCCTTTTTTTTAATTTTTTTTTTTAAGAAATCAACTTTTACTATCTTTTTAAAATCAAAACAAAAATTCAATTCTGTTAAAAGGATTACAACTCACAGAATACAATTATGAATTTTTTTTATAGATATATTTTGTTGTATTCGCACAAAAAAAAAACTTGGCTAAAAACGCTTAAACCACAATTTATATATTTTTTGTATTATTTTTCATTGCAAAAGTGCATTTATGCGCGGTGTGATTTGATGAAGGACATCAACAATATATCAAGTCCAATTTATATAAATACATTTCATGTCCTGTTGGCGTGCACACATAGTAAAAGTTATTGTGCGCTAAAACCCCAAAGCTAAGTAGGTCACATGTCTGTCTTACCTCACCTGTATATTTTTAGTTAGTTTTCTTTTTCCTGGTACAAGTACTAAATGCTTTTTCCAATTGCTCAAATGATGACCATATCGCTGTTAACAATGATGTTAGGTAAATTGCTACATTCATTTCTGGGTGACTTGTCAGAACTGCAAGTTGTCAAGTCGCAGTGGGAGCAACAGGTTCCCACTATTTGTGCATATATTTTTGCAAAAATTTACAAATTAAATATTTACATTATTTTTAACTTTCACAAAAGTGTTAATTTAAAAAAACAATCCAAAACATAAATCAACAAAAAAAAAAATTTTTTTTTACAAAATAAATAGTCCTGTGAATATAAGAAAATTTGTACACAAAATATTTGTCAATCTTTTGGAATATTGGTGTCAGTAAATATTAAATATAAAAAAGCATTTATGAATTTAATTAATACAATATATAAAAATAATATATATATAAATAAAAATGAAAAGTAAAATACGTTATACCAGAAGCAAAAGCTTCAAAGAGATGCTTGGATATAATTATGATAAGTAAGTTACTAGGTTTTAAATAATTTACATCTTTTATTAAGTTTAATTAAATTTTAGTAATTTAAATTTAAATAGGATCGCGAAATTTTATACAACAAATATATTTTACAATTTTGTGAAATTTTCGAATTCTGAAAATACGAAATATATTTAATAATTAATAATAACATTTATTATTATTATACGCTGCTGCTAGTAAGTGTTCTTTATTTAATTGGTAAATGCGACGACTATGGATAAACATCACAACGTCATTAGACAAAAGCTTTCAGACCCCTTCTACTTCGTTAATAAACACATAAAGTAACTTGATTCACTTTTTGGCGATAACCGGAAATAAATACAGTAGATATGTAGAAACTTCATTTCATATACCTAATAGAGGTTGATTGTTTTTTATCAGTATCTTTCAGTTAGATCTTAGGGCGTTTTCGATTGTTAAATCTGGGATTATTTTTTCAATCGAGATGCACTTTTAGTACAATTTCATTTTTGATTGGTAAATGTGGGGCATAATATATAACACTCGAGATTTGATTTATATCCCTCTAGACATTTTGCCAGAGTAGCAATATTACCCTGAAATGAATAGCTGTTTTATGATTTGATTAAGGATTATGTTTACTAATTTATAAGGCCATAAAGAGTGATAAATCAAAGCATGACAACAATTTTGGAATTATGTGCATTGAATTGTTTATTCAGTCGATATTATTTTTTTGTGCTTAATCAAAGTTTCTTAAAATGTTAAGTTTCAAAAGATTGTGGATTTTCAAGTGGCAATGCCTACCGTTAACTTCATCACGAGTTTTGGGTGAAGCAGGCATTAAAGTAATGCCTCAACCATTCTTCAGCTGAGGCATTCTGCCACTTTTATATATTTTTGATACAAATACCCTGACAACGTGTAATGATAGCTTTCATGTTCATAGAAAACCAATTAATTCGTTCTTTTCGTAGAAGATAATATTCAAAAGTCTAAGAGTTATCTTTGTTTCACTTTATAACTATAAGTACTATATACTATATAAGATCGTAAATACCATTATAAAATATTACCGGTGCGGTGTTGCTAATACCTCTGACGGCACTGAACCCTCAATATAGACTGCTGCTTTATATATTTTTTAGTATAAAAATCATAAATTTAAAAAACTTCAACATTTTTATTATAAAAGTTTTTCCCCACTCTAACCAAGATAATCTTTTTATAATGTACCTTTACGTACATTAAAATTACTTGTTATGCAGATGATGAAGATTAAAGCAGAACGAAGGAATGAAAACAAAACTCTTTGAAAGACTTTCACTTTGTAAATATTTTTATAACTGAGATTTTTAAGATGATTATGTACCCAAGTAAACAGGTACTTCAAACTTTTATGGAACTTACAAAGAGTACCTCAAACTTGTTGCATAGTTTGTGCACCTGGAAGTATGCAACAAATAATTGTATGTAGTTAAGTGTTTTAATAGTTTAATGCTTTAAAATGTTTAAATGCCTTTGTATTTTAAACGTTAATAATTTAATTGAAGTGCTGACTTTAGTACTTTAAAATAATGTTATAATAATAAAATTAAAATAAATATTAGTGAAAATGGTTAAAGTCATTATATTCATTGTTTATTTTAAACTATAATCTCTTTAATCATTTATATCTGTTGAAAAAATCCGTTCGCCATATTGTATATTATTTTTTATATTGATATTATACACATTAAACATTTATCTAATAATTAAAGCTTATTAAATTTTTATATATTTTTTATTCTACTTATAGTGATGAGCAAACTGATGTGGGTCTTTCAAATTCCAATTATACAGCAAGTTCCAATTCTAGTCTCTCCTCGGGTGGTGGATCTGAAAGTCCAAGCACTTCAATGGAACAAGTTGGTGGTGCCGGTACTACAACAGCACAAACAACACATTCACATCATCCGCATCATATGCACCAACATAGCCATCAAGATTCATTTCATGGTAGTATTGGTGGTGGTTCTTCGAATGCTAGTTTTTGGGGTGGTAGTATTGGTGGACCCGGTGGTCCAACTATTGGTCAGTTAGCACGTCAATGGAATTTTGAAAGTGATGATGAAGACGATCTCATTGAGGTTGATTGGAGTTCAAATGTAACAGCAGATGTATTATCAGCTTTAGCAGATGCTGAAAAGAAACGACAAGAGATTATAAATGGTAAATATTTTACAATATTCATTCGAATACATCAAAATTAATATTTATATATATAAATTATTTTTTCTTTTATAGAAATTTACCAAACCGAACGTAGTCATGTACGTACACTTAAATTACTCGATCGTCTATTCTTTTGTCCATTACAAGAGAGTGGTGTACTCTCAAATGATCACCTCATGTTACTATTTCCGCCAGCTTTACCTGCTTTACGCGATATGCATAGCAATTTTGAACAAAAACTGAAACAACGTCGTGTTGAACATAACCATGTTGTTTCGCATGTCGGTGACCTCCTTGCCGGTATGTTTGATGGACATTCTGGTGAAGAGTTGCGAGAATATGCTGCAAATTTTTGTGCGCGACAACAAATTGCGCTTGAAGCATTAAAAGAAAAACGACGCAAAGATGAACAATTACAAAAGATACTCTCCAAAGCAGAATCACATAAGGCTTGTCGTCGCTTACAATTGAAAGATTTGTTACCGACAGTATTGCAACGTCTCACAAAATATCCTCTGCTGTTTGAAAATCTCTATAAGGTGACAATACGTGTGGTGCCTGAAAATGCAACTGAAGCTGATGCCATACAACGTGCGTTAGAATCATCAAAAAAGATACTTGTTGATGTTAATCAGGCTGTCAAGACTGCGGAAGATGCGCATAAGTATGAAATAAAACCATTATAAATGTTCTTTAAATGTATATTAATTAATGTTTGTTTTATATTATATTAGATTACAAAATATACAGCGCAAACTGGACAAGTCTTTCGATAAAGATGAATTTAAGGTATGTAAAAATATGTCGTATACTTACTACGTAAGAAAGTTTTTGACTTGTTTATTATATTTAATTTTCTGCTATTAACTAGTAATGCTGACTAAGTCAACTTTTGTTATTATAAATATATTTTTTTTTAGAGAGCTTTCGAACAGTACTGTATTGCAACAACATAAATTTTTGTTTATTTTTAATTAATAGAATTTTTGGTTGACCATACAGCTGTTTCGAGTATTGCCAAATACTCATTATCAGTGGTCTTGAAATAAAGTACTGTTCGAAACATCTCCATTACATACAATAATATAAATTAAGTAAAATAGTCACTACCGTCATAACTGACATTAAAATCAAATTAAATTTTTCTTTTTTAATAAATACAAATGTTATAAGAATTTATGAGCCATTTACAAACATTCATATAAATAATAATTTTCAATTAATTGACGTCATTAATTTTAATTATATATTGTATGTTACAATATATAGAATTTTTTTTTTTTTTAATTTTAAAATCTTTATATATTTTAATAACATTTATCTTATTTCTATTTACAGAATTTGGATTTGACGCAATATCGTCTCATACACGATGGCAGTTTAACAATGAAAAAGAATCCTAGCATACAATTGCATGGTTTATTATTCGACAGTATGATTGTTTTGCTGACAAAACAGGTTAGATATCTCAATAAATATCTTGTACGCTTTTGTTTATTAAATAAATTAAATTTATTTTCATATTTCTTCATGCACAACATACACTTTATTACTGCTAACAGGACGATAAATATTCGTTGAAATATTTGCATGCAGCACGCAACACTGAAGTCAATAATAAACCTGTCAGACCGATTATGAATATCGATTCAGAGACTTTGGTACGTCAAGAGGCTGCCGATAAGAATTCATTCTTTTTGATTAAGACAAGAACATCACAAATGCTCGAGTTACGAGCTCCAAGTAGTTCAGAGTGTAAAACGTGAGTAGTTATAAATAAAAAATACTTATATTACTTTATATTTAATACCGTATTGAAAAGTTTGAAGTGAAAAGTATTAAGTAAAGAAACTTGCAAAGTAAAAGAAAATGTAATAAATTTATAGAAAATGGACAATGCCATCTCAATTGAGTTGAGATTCTATTTAATTTATTCGCATAGCTTTTATTTTTTTCTTTAAGGTATTAGAGATATAAGTCTGCTAAACTGAAGGATAAAAGAAAGCATTTTCTCAGTTCTAGTTTACATAGCATTTTTTATTTTCTTGAGAAAAATAAAAGTATTGAGATGGTGTCCCATTTAAAAATTGCTATTACCATTTAAATGAATGAATATATATATTATTTTTTAATAGTGCTTTATAAATTAAATGGTAGGCTTCTTTAAAACGTATATCATACGATTGATTTATTGACAAACCATTCAGCTGTTTTAATTGTCAAATATGCATTATTATTGTAGCACTGCGTCCATTGATGAACTTTTGTGTCCTAATATCCATTGATGAACTGTTGTGTCCTAATATCCATAAATAGTAATATTTAGAAATATTTATTATATGCTTTCTATATTAATATAAAAATATTATAATCAAATTTTGCGTGTTTTATGTACTTTAAAAGTTTAAAAAATTTTAATTTAATTTGTAATTATAATAATTACATATTTTTAATCAAAATTATATGAAAAAATATAATTATATTTTTGATTTTATAAGGTTGTATCAAATATTTTATTAATTGTTCTTTTGGACTTGAATTAATTTTAATAAATCGAATATTTACACTATAAATATCTCTTAAATTGATTCATTTAGGGAATGTTAGAATGGTAGACAGTTATATATAGTAATAATATATAGTAATATTTCAAAATGTATGCTAAAAATATAAAAGTATTTTAAGGTATTCTAATGTAAACAAGTAAAGAAGAGATCTGTTACAAATACTAAAAGATTAAAATAATAAATGTTAAAGAACGTATTCCAAAGACCCTGAAAACATTAGTCCCAAAACTGCTATGTAAGCTACTTTTAGTTTTTTTTTTTAGTAATATTTTCGTATTATTAATTGATATTAAAAAGAATTCTCTACGGGAGACATTTTGGCTTTCATTCAAAGAGTTGAGTGTGTTTGATTCTAGCAAGGTCGGTTGTTAGCAGAAAAAATTGCATAGCTTCGCTCCGTGGGGCGCATAATACACTTTTAATATTTTTAACTTCTAAATTGCAGTTTACTATATATCTAGAAACAGATATATTTTAATTAATATAATTTATTACTTATATTTAAAGTATCCATAATATATTTTGATTCATTTTTGATAATACAATACTTGCAGTCGAGAGATATTATATCAATAATATCAAATCAAAATGGTATCTGTAACTGATGTTGTATATTTGATAATACCCTAATCAGCTGAATAGTCAGTCAAAAAATTTAAATAATTAAAAAAACCTGTGGTTTTAATTCAATATTTTTTTAATTTTTTCTATTTATAATATTCAAAATTCTATTACTATAAGCCGGGTGTCCCACAAGATTTAATGAAAATTATTTTTTATTATAAATTTTTTTACATAAATAATTTTAAAGAAATGCATATATATTCATATCATTATTCATGCCATATGACTTTGTAAGTCGTTGACCTATGCAACTAGTGCATATTATGATTTTAAAAATTTTTCATTTTATAAAGCATGAAGTCAATGACTTCTTATAGCTTTTGCATGGAAATAAATTTAAATTATAGAAAAATATTCAATTCACTAAATCCTTAACCGTATAAAAATTGGGTTAAATTTTCTTTTAAAGAAATAAATTAATATAAAATACAAATTAAAAAAATAAAATTGATATGAAATTAATAGCTTTAAAAATTATTTTTAATAAATAACATATGTGCTGTCTGTGCATTTTTTTTTTATAATGTCAGAATACATTTTTCAATTTTAAAAGTTTCGGGTAAACTGAGAATAGTCATTGGTAATAAAATTGTCAGCCAAAAATTGAATGCGTCACTGCAATTATTTATTTTTATATATAAAAAATTTCGAACATATTGTCTGAAACTCGTAATATAATTTTTTCAATAAATTTGTTAAAATCGTCAAGAAATCATTTTTTCAATTAAAATAAAAATTAAATAATTGATTTTGCAACAATTAATGATAATTGAAAAAATTTTCCGCTTTATATAATTACTTGTTTATATTATGACTAAAAAATTATTTGTATGCAATAATTTTTTAAACAAATTTCTTAAATCTTTTTTCTGAAAATTTTGAAAAAAATTATTTTAAATATATTTATATTCATTTTATACTTGTTTGTGAACATGTGGATTTGTTGCGAAATATAATAGATATTATGAGGTGTACTTATGGTCGCATTAGTCAAATATGGTTTACCTACTTGAGGTTTTTTCCCTACTTAACTATGCAATGTGTAGATAATAATCATTTTTATTTTATTTAAAATTTTTTATATAAAACTACATAAATTATAATTCTTCTTTTGTATAAAGTTTTTGAAATATATATTAGAAATAGCTTGATAATGAAATATATTATAATAACTTGATAATAGCTTTTATATCTTTTAAGGGCCCATTAGACAGCAACGTTCGTTGTCAACGCGCGCTTGCCATTACACAAACAATTTTTTAACAATTTTTAAAACACGCCCCAGATAAAACAACAAATATACTAAAAAATCGCTCTCACATGAGAATTTTTTCTCCTACTTTTCTCCTACTTTGTGAAATGCGAAATTTGTTTGTGTAATAGTAACATTTGAAATTTTAAGAAATGTGTTGACGAAAATCAAAAAATTTTGATATTTCTTCAACCACGCTCGTGTTTTTGCATATACAGTCGGATTTGGTCGGCATGCAAAATTTAATTTATTTTGAGGAGTAGAAGCGTAAACATCGTTTAAATGCACGCATGATTTGTCGTTAGCAAGCGATCCTTTGCAAATATGAATGAATTGTATCTTTTATTTTAAATATTTGTATTTTCTACCTAGGTAAAATTTTTTAATTTCCAAAACATGTTATTAAGAAGAATTAAAATATTAATAACCTTGGGCTAAAAAAAAATAACCAAACATTAAATTACAATGAAAATTTTGTTTTAAATATTAATTGCATTGTGCACCTACGGAAAATTTGTTATTAAAATATACCAAAAAAAAAAAATTAAATTATATAAAATATAATATATATAAAAATAAATATATAAATTGAAATCATAAAAATAAATATAAATATATAAATTAAAATTATAAATTAAATGTAAAACATCATTTTTCGTAAGGAAATTACGCATAGCAGCCGCTGTTGACACTTCAGCGATTGCTTTAATACTGATGAGCGAACAAATTTTGCATTGTTTGCTGGAGGCGTGTTTAAAAAATTGTTGGTAAATTTAATGTGTAATGGAGAGAGAAGACTTCGTGTGTTTGTCAACGCGCGTTGATGTCTAAAGGCCACTTTATGTTAAGTTTTTAACATATATATATAAAAATAGCTAGATAATTTAAATTGTATAAAAAATAACATAAATATAACTTGGATTTAATACTACAAATTTGTCTATATTAATAGTTTGCAATATTCATTTTATATAAGAATTTATAAATTATAATTCTTCTTTAATATAAAGTTTTTAAATATATATTAAAATAACTACAGCATTTAAATTGTATAAAGAATAATTTTAATATAAATATATCTTGAAGTTAACACTAACAACCGATTGATGTCAAATGTTCCCATATTCATTTTTGTCATAGCCGGTCTTATCCCATAGCCATATAATAATACCTAACATCTAGATAATATGTGTATAAAAATACATAAAGCAAATAAACTAATAAATCGCTTTTTATTAAACAGTTGAGCTCGTGAGCTTTTGACTCGTGAAACTTCTTGAGCAGCTCTTCAATATGAGCAACTTGAAGGTTCACGCTGGTGAGCAGCTCTTCAATATGATCCAATTTTGGGCTCACTGACTTCTCTTTATTATTACATATTTATTTTTGTTAAAATAAACATGATTGAAAACGAGAAAGTTTACAATAATTAGTTAAATAAAACTAATCAAATCAAGCAATTACTTTTAACTTCTACGTAGTGTTGTGTGTCTATATCACTTTAGACACAGCACAGCCTAAAGATAATGATTTTATTTTTTTTTTGTTTTTTCTTATTTGTTTTTATTTATTTTTTTTATTTATCCTTATTCATAGGTTACATTAATCAGTTTTAATTTATGTGATTTTTTCAATTCAGAAAGGTTTAAGTTTCAAGATCTTCAAAGTATTAAAAATTTAATTAAAATAATATTGTTTTTTTTATGAATATGTAGGAAAGTACATTGCACTTTTTTCAACAACTTTTTGTTTAAACTTATTGAACTACCTTAATATTATTAATTACCTCATAAATTTTATTTGTACAAAGTAAATTGTTCACTAAATTTTTTAAACTCATACTAAAATTTTTTTAATAACTTTCACAAAAATTTTCCAAATTTTATTTATAGCATATTAATTCCTTTTTTTTTACTACATAGTTTATATAAAATTTTATTTTAAATTTAATATGAAATTCACATGAAAATTGTTTGCACACAGAAAATTTTAACTTTTAAGTTCTCAAGTACAGTTCCAGTACAACGTGACGTATGAGTGACATATAAAATTTAAATTACTTAAATCATCTCACAAATTTAAATAATAAAAAAAAAAAGAATTAACAATAAACGCGATTTTAAAAATTATTACATAAATTCTTGGCAAAAATGTTGATTATATACAGATAAAAATTTAATTTGAAAATTTTTAATTTATTATACTGAAGCGCTGAAATTAACTATAACTTCCGACCACCTTGTTTGTAAGAAAAAAAAATTAATTTTTTTTCTTTGCAGTTAAAGAATTTTTATTACATTTTTCCTGTTCGTAAAATAA